AAAAAGTTACATAATTTTAAATATATTTAACCAAACTTCTCTCAAGTTCCTGTCGTCCCTTTTAGTGACGAGAATATAGCTCCCCAGCACAGATATTCGACATGATATTAACTGTTTAATGTAGACAATGAAAAAGTCGAGATGGTCCCCATTAGAAAAATTCCGTATCAATTTCTGTGAAGATCGGTCAACTGGGTTATAAAATGATGAATGGAACACAATCAAACAGCAGGTTGGTCTCGTAAACTAAAGTTTCTCATATCGAAAGGAAAGTGGGCTAATGTATCTAAAGATATTATGAGCATTTCAAATACATTATAGGAAATATACTAATAATTATGTAATACTACACAACTGCACACTGAAACATAATGATATGATATTTGTCGGCATCAACAATTAAATATTTCAATAACCAAGACAAACCATATTTGCTAAACGTGAAGACTGTAACTATTTTTTTAATTCTGCTTCTAAGTTTGTGTGAAATACCTTTAATCATTTTCTTTTTGTTCAAAAGTTTTACCTATACAGAAATCGGAAAACACTACGAATCTTAATGTAAGTGACAATCTGTTTCATTTACACGCTTGGAGTCTTTCGAGCTACTTTGCACCACGTTCACAACGTCTGAGCATAAATCTCCGTACTGAGCACGTTAGCTAAAAGATGTTCATTTGTCGTCCTGAAGTGCTACAATTTTATTAAGTCGCATCCAGACTGCTCAGTATGTGGATAGTGAGTCGGTAACCGACCTCCATAAATAATGTCGGTTTCACTCACCAGTTCCCAAGCAGCGCGATCAGTCGAAAGGTTCGCTACATTGTCGGTACAGCTGTCTGTGCACATTGGCAAAAGTCACTCTGAGTCCCTGTAAAATTAATACGAGTGTCTGAACGCAGCTTTAGAGCCACAGACTATCATGACTGGTTGGTTTCTTCGTCTACAATTAGGGCCACAGACTGTCATGACTGGTTGGTTTCTTCGTCTACATAGCCCTGTAATGTTATATCCCAAAAGTAAATTTAAACAGGTCATAAAAACATTCATCCGAAAGTTGTCTTGATCTCCCTTTTCATCATATTTGGCGATAAATAATCTCTATATATAACACATTACATATATTCACAATAAATCAATTATAAAAAAGTATATACGAGGTGCGATCGGAAAGTTTCAAGACTGTGTCAATAGCTGGCGAACCGGATGTAGTACGAGCTTCTGCTTTTAGGGGGTGCGGCCTACATTCATAGTGAATCATTGTGCCAGCCGGCATCATCAAATTAGCATTTGTTTCTTAGTAACGGGCGTTTTGGTAGTGCATTACACCGACCCTCCTGCGATTTCGGAATGGCGTGTGCATCAAATTTTGCCAAAGACTCGCCAAAACGGCTACGGAAACCTATGAAATGCTAAAGCAAGCATTTGGGGAGTCCGCAATGGGTCGTGCACAAACTTTTGTGTGGCATTCACGTTTTAAAAATGGCCGAACCCCTGTCGATGATCTTTTCATTGTATTTGGCGATAAATAATCTCTACGGACACACGGTCTATATATAACACATTACATATAAATCAATTCTAAAAATATATATATATATATGTACCTAACAGAGAGGAAATAGTAAGAGGATAGAACAAATTATATTAAGTCTGAGGTTGGAAGTTCTTGCAACGATAATGATGTAAATGTCTTCACTCTCAGTTCTGCAGCCGTGCAGTTTTGCAGGCTACACGGCGTCAAATTCCGAATACAAACGATATATTAACAAGGAGCGCCTATGTTCCTACTTTACATCAAATATTCCTTAAAGTGAACAAATTAAGGAACATAATGTGGGCTGGATATGCAGCAAGCATGGGAAAGGACATTCATACAAAATTTCAGTCAGGAAAGTCTGAAGAACAGAGACAATATTGGATGCCTAAAGGTAGTGCAGTATACATTTTAAAGTGAAGATGGCTTTCTTCTGAATTGTAACGCCGTGTACTCTGGTAGGCGTTTAGTAACGTTTCGGAGGAGGCAGCCACGACCTCTGAAACGTCAGCGATGTAAACCAGAAGACAGCCATCTTCATACTCACCGCCGTAAGAACCACAAATCACGAATTTAAAATATAACTTAAACGAATGGGGTGTGGATGTGGATTTAATAATCCAGGGTAAGGTCCAATGTTGGGATGTTCTGAACAAGATAATAAACCTTACGGTTCGGATATTCTTAGAACGCTCAGTCACTGGCAACTTCTCATGAATGACTTTACTCCACACAGTTGTATCAAATGCCAAGATTATAAAAATTCTGATAATGATAATGAGCGCCCAAGACACGATGCCAGAGGAATATCATCATACTTAATATAAGATGATATTCAGGCATTTACCACAAGGAAATGAATAAAAGTAAGAAAATTGTTATATATGGAAACCGTTTTTTAGTCAAGTTTAATACAAGTTGGTTCATCTGCAAAGTTTTATGTAATTCAGTCAAGATACTTATTTATGTATGTGTCACAAGCCGACGTAGAGACATTCATCCTTTCACGAACAAAAAAGAATTGACTAAATTATTTTATTACTTGTAGTACTGAATCTGTAATGTATTTTAGTATGAAACAATGTACTGAAAATTCAGAATGGTACTACATATATTTGGCGGATAAAATGGTATTTATATGGTCCAGAACAAACCTGGAATTCTAACGTAAAATGTTATAAAAACAATCCATTTCTCACAAATGCACGGAGCTCTGAACAATTCGAAGCTTACATAGAATTATTCTCCATGACAGGAATTAAATTGATACTGTAATTTGTTTGCGTTATACGGTATGCGTCAATGATGCCGGGTCATATGAAATGCTTGAGCACTTGAGCCTCTTTGGCCCACCACCCAATAATGTTTTACAGTGAGGATGTAGGTATTACACGTAAAATATGAAGTTTCTCCTACAATAAAAGTAGGAGGAAAGGCACAACCAATACGCTATAGACGTTAGTATAGATAGATTAATGGTACAGCTTTATAGACATATATCAAATTTATTACGCAATTCTAAAAATTACTTTTACAAACAAGGTGAAGGAAATCCAGAGTATTCAGAAATATTATTTTTTTTTAAAATCACGTATGTTAGATATGTTTGTAGGTAGTGTAATATACCAGTTCTTCCCCTACCTGCAAAATATAAGTACCAACTAACTCCTGGGAGCCAAGTCGTTCTCGAGAAGCTAATAGTATCACAGAAAACCAAAAATTACTTACTTTGGTTTGTACTATGTTGATAAGAACACGAAACTTGTACCTGTACTAAGCCATATAAACCCAGCGAACAACTTCTCACCCTGTTTCATTATTTAGATCAATTTTGATATTATCATCTCATCTACACCTACATATGCTAAATGTTCTCTTCCTTCGTGCTTCCTGAACAAAATGTTGTTCGCATTTATCGTCTCTCGAGATGAAGCAGTTATTAGATCACTAACGTAGAAAACATAATAAAATGTTTTAGGAGATTTCAGCAGAAAAATGAAGAAGGAAAACATATCGAAACGGAGAATTGGGGATGCTAATATACACGAAACTAATAATGGTAATGGGTTTAGAGTATAAACCTTTGCCACATCAAATGGGGTAGTTTCAAAGAGACATTGGAAAATATTTGGACATAAAATGGTTGCAATGTTAGAAAAAATTGATACAATGGTTTATTCAGGATTTCTGTAATTTGGACTAATCAAATATAGTTAGGATCGTAAAATTAAGTGAAATCAGATGGACGGGTCATGCGGCGCGCATGGAGAAGACGAAAAATACAGAAAAGACCACTTGGGAGACCTAGACGTATATGGGAGAATAATATGCAAATGGACAGTTGGGAAATAGGGATGGACGTCATAGACGGATTCATCTGACTCAGGATAAGAAATGGAGGCGGGCCCTTGTGAACACGCTAATAAACTTTCTGGCCTAACTTCTCAAAAAGCACTGAGCACCTTGGTTTTACTCAATTTTTTATCGCGCCTATTCGTCGCCTGTAAAATATTAAAAGACAAAATTTGTAATTTAATATTTAGATAAGCTGAACGATTATTTTTAAAAACAGTTCGGAATGTAGAAAAATATCAAATAGGAACTTAAAAAGTTTTATGGAAATCTTTTTTTGAGAAGAAATTGTTGTTATTTGTATATTTTGCGCTACATTCATGAATAATAACAAAATTTGTGGTCATGCGTTCTTTCAAAATATGTCACTTTCCTCAACTTTTAATCGATTAACAAGCTATATATCCATAATTACTGTGAATGCACAGAATTAATTTATTGTCATAGAGAGAGAGTTTTATTAAATTCCGTGATGCATAAAACAAACATTTTACATAATCAGTACTTTTGTGTCTGCATTTATGTCTGTTTTTTAAAAGTACGTTGCACTCAGGCATGCCACTTAACGAAAATGAGCAAACAACTGATAAGAGAGAACGCTATGCACACAAACAACAACTGACTTTGAAATTTTATTTATTAATGATGAAATCCTAACAAAACAGGATGATACAGACAGAAACATTACAGCTTCGTACTTATATACTACACCGGTAAAAACCTAACGGTGTTTCAGTTATTGTGAAGTTTTTGAATTCAGAATACCGATTGTATGTCTGTAAGAAGTTAAACGAACGCTAGGAAATAAACCACATCAGCATAACTGATTCGTACATGTAAGCTAGACCATCATTACTTCAAATGACTACAGTAGCTTAATACAATTCAATTTAATTTAACGGAATGAATTAGAGTGCATTTGTCACTTTAAGCACAACGTTTTCGACCGTAGCAATTAATACCATAATTTAAATCCCGGAAAACAAAGACCGTTCTGTCAACTTTAAATTTATTAAATCCTATAAGAATTACACATCTATCAAGATGATAATTGTATAGCTCGAAATTAAACCAATGTGTTAATTTCTCAGTTTTGTCCCTTTCTTTCCAGATTCCACTACGTCATTAGTGACCCAGCAGCCCACCACTCCCAGTCTAAAGGCGCCGCTTGAGCCCCCAAACGAGGTGGCCACTAGCATTCCACCGGTGGTCTCCGCCCATCAAAAGACAGAAGCACCAATGCTTGGTTACATCTTCGACACTCATTCAAATCTCAATAAACACCATCACCACGATCATAAATGGGGACCACACTTCGAAGAAGTGGAGTTGGGTGCCAATGCTACCAACATGACCGTCCAGGTTGGAAATACTGCCAACCTCAACTGTAGGATAAGTTTCTTGCAGGATAAAACGGTGAGTTAATTTATCATTTCGTTATTATTATTTTTTTTTGTTTAAGAATCAATGTAAAAGCAGGCATAAGACTCATGAAAACTCTTTCAACTGAAGTGAATTATATGGTACGGAAGGCGGTTAATACAATGGCGAAGGAAACTAATCATTATGATACTTGCATATTTTAATATAAAATTTATCTGCACATACTACTCTCAACAGTCATAACAGACTTATGTACTGAAATTTATTTAAGAATATCATTACAATTTTCCATGTGTGACTGAAAACTATAAAATGTATTTTGTATATAAACAGGAAAATATTGCGAAAGAAAATTAGTTTAAAGCAATTAATTTTATACTGATATACTTCATAATTAGTCAGCATAGCTTCAATGCACTTGGAAACGAATAATATTTCCATTTCTTCGAAGAAAGAAATTTCCTGGAAACTTGTTTGTTGGCTTTCAAACAGTTTTGATTTCGAGGCACTGTTTATTTCATGAAACATAAATTAATATTACGTTTATTCTCATATTGTTTTGTTATATTTCATGTGGTTTGAGAAACTTAGCAGTGTACCTTTGCTCAAAAGTTACATTTGTTTCATAAAAATACTTTTCTGGAGATTGTATGTCCTGACGTTTATACACACACACACACACACACACACACTCACACACACACACTCACACACACACACACACACACACACTCGCACTCATATATTTTCACTGTTCCTTAGCAGCAGAAAATATATGCCAATTTCGCATTGACTAATTCCCAAATCGTGACGGGCCGCATAGAAATGTTGTGATCACTGCATGTGGCCCACGGGCCGCTTACCCTGTGTTATGGCAACCAAATCGAGGATTACGTGATGGGCGGGGTGATGTAGGTCACATGGAAAATACAAGAAACACACACGAAATATCAGTCAGCAAAGAGGCGACTAGGAAATCTCGAACATATTCAGGAAGATAATATTAATCGGGTTATTAAGTTTAGAGATTAAACATTCTGAAGAATAAACTAACAAAACTGTCTAATAAAGTTTCTCAACGCGGTTCCTGAAGAGAATATCTAGTATATCTAGAAACAATGAACATTAGTAGGTGGATTAATTTTCGTAGCCAGAGTTCATGCACGTAATATTCCCAAGTTACAGATTATTAGTTCATAGCAGAGAAAGAACACGATGCTTCTCGAAGACAAATATCAGTTTTCTTAATGCTGTTTAATGAAATAATATCTTGTTTATTCTTATACAAGTATAAAATTCACTAATGCACTATGTGGGCAAAATGTGGAAAGAGAATGTTTGCAGGCATTAAGTAGACATTGGTTTTTGAAGGATTATCGGACATTTTCATTCGTAGTCCTCCTGCACTGATCACCGCAGACTAAAATAATACATATTATGTTATAATATTAGAATACAATTTCAAAATACTTCCCCTAAGTTTATGCCATATTGAAAAAAATCTGTGTTCAGTAGGTGAGATTTCAGGGACATTTCGGTTAGTATGAAGTTGGATATCTTCTGGGTTGTTACGCCGTGTAATCTCGTAGAAGTTTACTGACGTTTCAGAGGTGCTTCCAACCCGGAAGACAAACATCATTCTTGTTATCAGTAGTTAAAGAAATCGTCACGACACATTTTATAAAGTACTTTATCGAAACTGATATCTGGGCAGAGAACTAGTTCACTACTGTAGTGTACATAGTCAGTATTTACGTAGCAACGCATCTTGTAGTACAGCTCCCATAAATAATACGATTATCCTTATCATAACACTTACCTCTTATTAGTATCTTCACAACAGTGGGTGTTACGTGACAAAGAATATATGACCAAGATCCGTATACAAAAGTACGCAATCTCAATTAGAGAAACAGCTAGTAATTAGTTGTTTCAGAGTTGATTACATCAATCATTAGCCATCCGGTCGGTTTAATTTCTTAAAAAATACTGCGGTTGGTAAGACCACGGCCTCATGGGAAGTTTGGTGTTGCGAAAACTGCAATTCAGTTTAGTCTCACAGAAGCCTCAGTAAGCTGTTCTGTTTTGAAACACAAAATATATTCTGAATTACATAAATGTATTTTAAAATTAAAATATAATTAAGAGATGGGCGACGATACTATTATGCAAGATTCAATATGCTTTAGAATATTTGTTTAGCCTTGTCTCCCAGCAGTTGTGAATCTTGTGGTGTACAATACACCGATTTTCTCTGGGAACATAAATTTAAAAAAGCACGAATACTTTAAATCCGAGGATCGCGACGTACTGTTCCTGGTTTTCGTAACGCTTTCAGTTCTCATTATTTATCAGTTAATATATAATGGTTGCATTATTAAAAATAATGGAGGAGCTTTCCAAATATCGAATTTTTCCATTATGCGGACTGAGGCTGAATAAAAAGTAAAATACGCAAATTACAGAACATGTGACACAATGTAATTTACCAAGACAGTCTGTTGAAAATACAAATATGTATATTTTGTATTCCCATTTTTCTGGACTTCATCATTGTTCACTGTTCTAAAATATTACACATTGTACTTGTATAGAGTGGGAAAACGCTCCACTCACCATGATCGAATAGAAAATCTTCAAAAATGACTACTGCCCATTCTGTATTATGTATTGTATTATTATGAATTATTCCAAATCCTTTTGTCATCTGGTCGACTTGTGGATTCATGAAATGTAAAAAACATGGGAGGATGGACGAAAGATAGCGCCCCTATGTTTTGGATGCAGGCTCTGCCCCCGTTTTCAGGTCAAAATTACTATTGTACCCAATAGAGAATCTCAACTGTATATAGGTACTTTCATACGAAGACGGAAGCAGAACCAGGTTCCGAAACGTATTAACGTTCTTTCAGAATATTGAACGATGGATGAAGTCTAGAAAACGGCAGAACTGAATTTAATACACTGCTTTTAG